TTGGGGAAAGGGGGGGGGGGAACGTTGCATCTATATAGTGTAACGTCATTTAATTTGATGTTCCTAGTATCTACCTTCATTAGATTCTAAATATATATACATGTTTATATATATAGATTTAAATGTTTTATGTTAGAGCGTACGTTCCACCAAAATCGATTAAATGTTCTGACACTGGCAGGCCCCTAAATGTGTGATTCCATAATTTACATATATGTAATATCCTGTACTTTAAAAAAAAATAATTTACGCACTTTTATGGGTTCTTCTAGGTTGACACACACCCTTATCTGTTAATTTTTGTGGTTGTTTATGGGCTGTTCGACTAATTTTGATTTAATTCTGTTGGGAAATCTTTCTTTTTCACGTTTTTACACTCATCTAAAAATCTCTAGTGAGAGTGAGGAGTGAGTGTGTGTGTGTTTTTCGGGCTTTATTTCAGCCTTTATTCAGTAACAGTTCAAAGTATACAAAAATAAAAAACAGGATACATTCACTCCAGTGCTCATGAGTCGTTCCTCTCTTTCAGTTTCACTCATTCATCATTCAATTCCCGTGTTCTCTCCCGCGGCTCATCCCCGTTCTTATGACTTTCACACCCCACCCCCTCCCTCCAGGCACACAAAGAAAATCTCACTCATTCCCTTGCTCCCTGCGAACCATGGACAATAATATAGGTAAAACACTGCCTTAGCAACATTCCTTTCGTTCGTGAGCTGTGGACCAGGCCAGGGGGGTCGGTGTCGTCGTCTTGTAGTTGCTGTCACCTGTGGATACACTCGTAAATTCTTCCTTTCACCCGCTCTGTCACTCACACTGTCTCTCCATCCACAACTCAGCTCGTCATACGTTCAAAAGTTGCCCACTGATCATGTTTAGTTAGTGTGTGTGTATAAGTTTGTGTGTGTACATGTGCAGGATGGTGGTGGGTGCGTGGTGGGTGTTACTGAAGGTTGTATATAGGCGGGCTTGCCATGTGGTGTTCCTTCCCAGACCAGAGCCTGAGGCAGAATGAAAGTTGGCGCCGAACTCTCGCAATAAATAGGCAAAAAATCACGAGACCGGAAGCCGGAAACCGTTCGGAGAAATAAAGATCGGCACTATTTCTCCGAACGTGCGGAGAAATAGTCACTTTGTTACAAAAAATAGGCCTACTGAATTGTAAATATACATTTTTAGTGTGCAGTACCTAAAGTATTTTTGTATTTGAGACGAAACCAGGTGCCTTAATGACAGTACATGATGTATTTTAAACCTCCTGTTTTCTAATGTTAATAGGGCCTAAGATAAGTACGGCTAGACTGTCAGGCTAGCCGTACTTAATATTGATGGCTGAATTGTAAGTGAAATTTTTAGTTTGCAATGCCTAAAGTATTTGTATTTCAGACAAAACCAAAAGGTGCCTTACTGACTTGCATTATTTGAACCTGAATAATTACTAGATCTAGATCTAATGAGACCTGTGTACTTAACAGGCTTGAGTCGATTGGGCCAAACCTAGATCTAAGTACGGCTAGACTGGCAGTTTAAGTACGGCTAGCCACTTCGTTTGTAAAATAAGGGGAGTCATACTAGGTGTTCGGTTCCGTTCTTGCGCTCGTGACACGACTCAGCAGTAGGTTAAATAAACCACAAGGTGGTGACAGCGACAGGGGAGTGAATCGGGAATCGTTTGGCGATACTGCTCCGCGTTCCGCTGAAGTGAATCGTGAATCGTGTTCCGAAGGCAAGAGTGGCGATTCAGTTCCATTTTTTCACGCTCGCGACCCAGCCCTACTCAGTGGCAATTGACAAAAAGTCAATTTTTGTCAATTAATTTTTGTCAATTGCCACCGCATCACTCGGTGGCAAT